ACACTATAGAACCTAGGAAAACCTACGCTTACCCCTACACGTACGCACACGTGTAAGCCAACTAGTGAGCCCTAGGCCCACTACATGATTACTGTAACCACAGACAAGCAGCTAATATGAAATGGAAGTGTATCAGGATGACCAATTAGAATATGAAACCAGCAGATCACCTCGAGCGCGCGTCGTCTGATTACTGTCCGAAATGGGCTTGATAACTTACTCGAAGACGACGTGCAGATCTTCCTCTCTGTCGATACACCCACACACAAGACTGCCCGGAAGCTGACTCCTTGCTTCCCCGCTGACACACGACTAGCGCCCACAGAAAAAGCCGACCTGAAGGTGCTGGCTTTAGGTGAAAAAAAAACGAATTCTTTGTTAAAATATAAGTCTCTTTCTGTCAATCTCCCTGGTAACATGCAAAACAAACTTGGTCTCAGTATAGGTCGGCGATCGTAATCGTTCAACGGTCTCGAATCTTCAAGTGCATAACATATCCAGTCGGTCGCTCAGGTCGGTCGTTAACAGATGGGCTGAACTATAGTCAGAGTTTCAAACCCTCAGCTCAGATCCACATATCATTTGATTACAGGCCATCGTTTGAAAGTCACTTCCATCGACTCGCAGGCATAGTGAAAGTCCAATATTACCATCACTCCACTTGTACCTTGGTATATCCATATCACTTCCTTTTTGTCAATCAACGTTCTTTCGTGTACCCAGCTTTTGGACACCGGAAATGTATCCATCAGAATCTCCAAGTTGGGCCACCAGCAGTACAAATAGACACAATCAGTCACTATTTTTAACTTATTCAGGAAGGTTGCCTGACTGAGATTGTTTTGCCCAGTTACAACGCGTCAACCGTCCCTCTGATAATTGTCTTTCAAAGAGAGATTTACTCGCGAAGTGACAGGCAGTGATGATACAACGCATTGCTCAGATATCCAAACGAAACTTCCGGAATAGCGGACTCGGGACTTAACTCCCAAAATCGCAACAAGTTCAGAACCATTTTCTGTCGTTTCACACAGCATACATCACATCGAGCATCCATCGAAACCTTAGCTCCGAGGGTGGTCGTCACCAGCTTCCATACTTCAAAAGCGGACTCAAGCGCATGCATCTTGGTTAAACTCATTTAGTAATGCTCCACAATTCAGTTGAGATGCCGGGAGCCATTCCGGATCGTCATAACCTTTCCATTTGACAAGGTACTCCCAACGTCTTTTAGATGTTGGAGTTTTCGTAGACCATCAAAGATCTAAAATCTTCTCAACCTTGTACTCATTATCTTCTGGGAGTAACGCAGCATCAAAATCATTTTCTTCATCCCCATCCCCATCCACAGTAACTGTCGGTCTTTTGGGAAACAACGCTCTCGCCTTCGGACGGCTGATATGAACCCACGGATTGACCGGTATTGTCAATCTTCAGGTTCACTCTGAAATCGTACAGCACTTCATCCATTCGAAAAGGCCATGCCATAAGTGGCAAACTTCTTACTTAGTCCGGTCTGCACTTTTGGAATATACAACCAAACAGCGTCACCTTTCTGGAATCCTGACTTCAGGCGTTCGGACAACTCCTTCCACTTTTGCGTCTGGATTTCGGAGCGATGTCGTCTAGCTTGATTCTGCAAGTCCTCAGCACATGCCTTCGTATAACCATAGTCTCTCTGAACGTTTCGTATCCACCCGTAGGCGGTTCTTTCGGACACACTTGATGGTGTCGGACCTAACATCGCTTTCAGAGTACGTTCTGGATCCCAACTATGAACTAGGTAGAACAGGAAATCCAAATGTGTGGCGTCAAACGAGGTGTTCAAAGCGAACATCAATCTTTCCGCATGGTCATCCCAGACGCTATGGTCTGCCTGCTTAATGTAGGCGCGAATGCACCTGACAACCGTTTGGATAGATCGTTCCTGTTGCCCATTTGCTTAGGTCGTGTTCCCAAAGTGGCTCTCTGACGACTATTCAAAAGTTCCCAAACATGCGTAAACACCTCACTCATACAGCGGGGGTCTTGATCATGCCGGATCGTTGCACCCGCTCCAAACTCCGAACTCAGTATTCCTCGCAAGCCTCCGCGACATCCTGAGCGATGGTCGAGTCCATAGGTTTACACATTACATATCCAGAAAACATGTCTTGGAATAGTAGTAGGATTGTGTCCCTTCATCCGACTTTGGCATGTGCGCACAACGTTCATCGAAACGACTTCGAAAGGTTGTCGGGGTTCGATGTTCCCAGGTTATGGTCCAGCGTTTGGAGGGTTTCCTTTCCCACTCGCATAGTCAACACACTCGTTCACAAAGTGTTCCGCATCTTCGTACATGCCTGGCCAATAGAATTCTGAACACAATTTCTTGTGCGTCCTGGGCATGCCCTGATGGCCTCCTGAAAAATCTTCATGTCCGTAATGAAGGACGTCGTCTCGATGTGCACTTGGAACGACAAGTCGGGGCTCATCCTGAAAGTCACATGAACGATCATGAGTCGAACGACCTAGTCGATACAACAGGCCCCCAATGTCAAGTACAAACAACTCCGCAATCTTCAGGGTGAAAACGGTTGGAGGTCCTCCTTTAGGGAACTTTTGATCTCAGATAGATACTCATCCGCATCATGATGCACACGACTGCGTCGCCATCGTTCAGCTTGGTATTCCAAAGGGTTCATAGGTTGATCCCCCGGAGTTCGTCCAGTTTGGCTTCTGCAACGCGTTACTGCTGCGACCATGCGAGCCGATTTCGTCAACTTAGGTGATGCGGAGTGGGATACTTGTCGAGTTTTGGCAGTATTTCTCCAAAAGTTGGTTCGACTACAGGCTTTGACTCGGAGTCTTCCACCTTCATGAGTTTCTCTGTGATCTTTGAAACGTGTTTCAATGTACAATCTAATCCGTATCTGTAACGTCCCATGAATCATCCAGAATCAAAGTCTTTGCGGTCAAATAGTCTGCAGCTTGATTGTACTCCCGCTTTAGATGTACTAGACGTAACGATCCAAATTTCTCTTCGAGTAACTCGATTTTGGCAAGATACTTTTGGAGGTGTGCTTGATGGCAGTTGATCAATCCTTGAACCTGTTGAATAACGATTCGTGAATCTCCAACCACTACCGAATCTCGCAACTTCATTTTGATGGCCATCTTGAGTCCTTTCAGAAGCCCATGATATTCAGCATCATTCGCAGTGACGTTGCCCAAAAGGAAACTCTTCACTTTCAGGACATTCCAACCGGGAAACCGCCATAGCACACAACCACAGCTTCATTTCTTGGTGGAGGGTTTTGCGGCGCAGGACGACTCCCTGAAAATCACTTCCTAGATTCTCAACACTTCCCACCGGTTGTCTTCGCACATGTCCTTTCAGAGGGACCAGTGTCTCATCGAAATATTCTCGTGGTGTGATCCCTGCACCCATGATGGCTACAAATCCCTCTTCATCCATTTGGACTTTTCCGGATTTCGATATTCCAATGTGAAAGTGTGATACCCGAAGGAATGCACCTCCCATCGCCGACTTAGACTGCAACACCCATTTCAAAACAGAATATCTCGTGTAGATGATCAGTTGTCGGCCTTCCAGAATTGTCCGAAAGATTTGCAAATCCCTCAGGATAGCGATTACCTCATTTTCGGCAATATGATACCTGAGCTCGGCGTCGTTATGAACGCATCTTGTACATCGCACTGGTTGTACTTTTCCATCGTATTCTTGGCTATGCCTGCACAAGCGGCCCATCGGTTCGCGTGCGGGATGATAACAAATGACATTTGGATGTCCGGATGTCTCAACATTGGACTCGCAACGGTCTTTGGTTTTTAAGCATTTCAAAAGATTCATGAGCCCGTGAGAGATCTCGTTCCTGACGTATCTGATCTTGCGAAAGTTCGTAAAGAACCGCTGTCACTACCGAAAAATCCTCAATCAACCTGTGGTAGTAGTTTAAACTTCCGAGAAACGACTGTACACCTTTGTGGGATTTGGGAAACGGTAGATTCATAACACCCTTCGCAACTTTTGGGATCGCGCGGATACCTTCTGCACTAATTTCGAGTGAAGGGTAAGGAATCGATCGATTTTCCAAACTCGCTCCTAGGTAAACTCACCGATATATTCCAGTAGCGTAAGCGATAGAGTAAGGTGTCCAAAATTTCAAGCTAATCCCATGTTTTCGCATCATGAGCAATATCATCGATGTAGGAACTACGTCCCAGCACCGGGTGAATGTGCGAGGGCATGAGGATATTCCTTTGGAAGACGGTCATGGAGTCTGGGAGTCTTTTCACCTCGTCCTGTGGACGACCACTTTCCGATTCTTGGTTATCTGAAGGGTCCAAACCTAGAAAGTCCAAAACATTTTGGTCAACTCGGCTTCCCTCTTCGGGAGGCAGTCTCACAAATCCCCACAAGCAATTGTTGATAACTGACTGGTATATCAGCGGCGCATTCTTGAGTCCGAATGACATGCGAGTCCATTGGAAGTGCCCAAATGGACAGACAAATGCCGAGGTCAGCTTCGCCCTTTCAGACATCTTGATTACCCAAAAAACTGGCCATATCCAAACTCATAAATCACATAACATCCTCAAATCCAACCAGCAGACCATCGGTCTGCGGTAGAGGATAATTCGACAATGTGATGAATCCATTAACAACTCGGTAGGCGACACACATCCGAATATCCACACCATTTTTTTGAGGACGATCATAATAGGTGACGTCCATGGTAATTCTGAATGCCCGATGAGTCGGGTTTCCAAAAGTTTCTTCAACAGCTCATACACTTTGATCGACAAATGTGGTGCAACAGATCGGGGACGCTGGGCGACGGGATTCGTCTCTCCGGCATCCAAATCACAGGTTACACCTCGCGTCGGGGCTCTAACCGCATTCCCATTTCCTAAAACGATAGTTTGATGATACTTAAGAATCGCTCGCAATTTTTGCTCATCTTTCGAAGTACTCGTCCCAGATTCACCAACGTCGGCTGAATCGATATCACACTTCGGAGAAAACGCTTCGATATCCGGAAGCAACGCGAGTTGTTCCCGGAGTTGTGATAACGTTTCACCCCCTTCATATATATAGACTGCGTGCTCAAGATCCAGTTCTTCAACACTTATTCGCAGGACCCGTTCGTATTCTAGCTCAAGCTGCTGCACACGCGTGCAAGCCATCACCGACACCGGCAGGTCCGAAAACACATCATCCTCTGGTTCCTCTTTTGGAATGTCTTTCAAGGTGGTCTCTGGAAACCATCGTCAACACTAATCGAGTCGAAGAACTCATCTTCGTCCGAGTCCTGGCCATCCCAAGCTACTTCAGCTTCATCCACTGGAATGTCCATCGCTTCATCTTCGGCTTCCACAACCTCACTCACTTCGGGTAATATCATAGTCCCCCGGCGTCCTTATTGACAACCTCTTATCTACCTTAGATGTTCCATCAGACAATTCTCTTGAAACTATCTGAAGGTTGATCACTCTAGCTTCCTCGCAACCAGGCGATGGTCGACCCATCATCTTAGTCGGCCACGGGTGGTTTGGCGTCTGTACGGCTGGCGAGCTTGGGCTCTGGCGGATATAATATTCTAGTAGATGAGAGTCTGCCATTCCTGGTATATTCGAGTGCTAACGCACACATAACGTCTCGCTCTCGGAAAGAAACTCGACAACTTGAGCAACTTCGGTTCGCCAGTCAATAATGACAGTGCGGTTAGAAAGGTTCCTGCTGCTACTTTATAGCAGCAGGAACCTTCCAAGCGTACAAGACCTGAGTGACCCAACAATCCCCTCGTCCAGACCAAACAACTGACGGCCGTATTAGCTTTCGGAACGCAGGCAGTCCGATGTTGTCCGGGCTGAAGATACATGGTATATTTGGAAGGATTTCATGAGCCATAGCATGCTTGACATGAACCGGTCCTCTTCCTGAAAGCAAAACCGTCTCCTCGTCTGGAAGCTGTACCAGCCCTTCTTTAACGCACAACCGTACTCCAACCTAGAACATAAAGTGCATCCTAAGGAAAACATCCAAATATCCACCAATGTTTGCGATCCAAACATCAACAACGTACACCACTCTTGATCCCAAAGTGATTTTCACCTCGGCACTTGCAGTGATGTTGGTCGGCACATGTATACTGAAATCTGTTTGACAAACTGGAGCTTGAATTTTAACCTACGCGCAAGTTCTAAACTCACCAGGCTCACTGACTCTCCAGAATCCTGAAGTATATTCGTCCGAAAGTTAATTTCCGCTCCATGCACCAATGCGATTTCCGATTCTCTTCTTGTTCGTGATCATGCCATCATCATAACGCTCGCCTCGTTTCAGGCTAAATTCTGGACGCATGGCGATATCCAAATCGTCTGAAAGGTTGCTCTGATAGTCATCCGAAAGCGAACTCTCCACAAGAAAATCTTCAATAAATACATTCATGGATTGTTGATTATCTTGACCTTGCCTTCTCAACTCTGGTCCAACATAAGCTAACACACATAGTTCTGGGTGTGTCTTGGACCCGTCGCGTACTGGATCCCCCTCCAGCGGACTTCGTGGTTTAATGGCTTCGTCCCATAATCGGCATGTCCATCCAAAAGTTGGTTGAGAAGATGATCAGGAATATCGTCCAGGCTTCCTTGTTTGGCGAGATTCTTGAGTGCCTGCAGGGTCTTCAGACCATAGCAGACACCGTCATGGAATTTATAGCAGAACGGACAAGGATCAACCTTGCAATACTTAGCGGGATGTCCTTTCTTGTGGCATCGGTTGGATTCCATATCCGCCGAGTAAAACTCCGTAGAGTGGGATCCCTCATCACCGTTGTCACAACGACGAGTCTGTTGCGGTCGTCCGAAATCCGTCTTTGGCGGTCGCCTGAATTCGGAGTTCGGAGGTCTCCATCCGGAATTTTCCAAAATCCGATAAATTTCTGAGGTGACATCTTGTTTCCGGAGTATCATGCTTCCGTCAGAGGTATCTCTTGACAAACCATCAACGTGTCCGTCGGAAATAGATTCTCTGAATGACACTTTCTGATAAAGGCGTTCAGTGCCGTAATCGAACAGGACTTTTTGCTCATCATCACTCAAAACGTTTTCGTCTTCATTTTGCATTGTACGCTCGGTCGTTGGTCTTCGATCGTTGCCGAATTCCAAATTTACTGTCAGGCTTCCTGTCCTGACCTTTCAGAGGATGCGCTTCTCGATCATCAATCCACCAGATTTCTTCATGCTATTTCAGGATATGCCTAAGTCCTTCAGACAGTGGATAGGCTGACTTTGCAATGTCGATCTAGGTTGAGCGTCCTTCAACTTCTTGATGAAAACTTTCAGATGTCGATCGCGCGCAATGTCTGTCGCCTTGATGTCAATATCCGCTTTGTCAGCAACCTTGTTCAGTCTGTAGTAGAACTCTCGAGAGATTTCACTTTTCCTTCGGAAAGTCATGTAGAGTACTCAGAATCCGGAGTCTTCACCTTGCAATACTCCTCTCGGAACGCTGTCACGGAACGCTTTCACAAAGCGCTTCTAACTTCGGCGCACAGATTTATCCGAATTCCCACGCTAATCACGCACAGCCGACGATAACTTCAGCTTAAAGTAGTAAACCTTCGCATGGTCTGACCACCTTCCCGTGGCAGCGAGACATTGGAATTTCTTCAACCAGAGCGTTCGGACAACCAATGGCTGCTTTTCGTCGAAATCTACAAGCGCTGTAATGTTAACCATCGGGTTGGACATGGTCGTTCCTTGACGAACCTGCGTTCCAGATGCGAGATTTTCAAACGAGCTGCTGTCGGAGTCACTGTCTCCAGAATCCCTATCCGGGTCGTTGTCGTCATCCGAAGGTTCGTCATTCGGCAGCTCCTTCCTTCTTTGATTCGGTTTCCTAGGACCCCTCTTGCGAGGCTTGTTCTCCGGGGGTACCTTTTGGACATCGGCCTTCGTCTCTGTCTTCATCGTCGTCGTCGTCGTTGTATCCTTAGCTGCAGCAGCGCGCGCGACGTTCTCCTTGGTCTCATTGAGGTCTCTTCGAGCAGCTTGTGTCTGAGTGGCGTAGAGCGTTTTGACTTCTGGCGGTGCCAACTGTTTTCTCAGAACCGGTGGGACACCCATGTTTACGCCACTGGGGACTGGCTTCCCAGTGGTCGAATCAGAGTTCACGTACACCTGGGTTGTCACTTCTGGGGCCAGTTTCAAACCATTCTCACGCACTTGTTGAGATTCCGCTTGTTTCTTCAGATGTCCGACGAGGAACAACTGCAGGTTCTGGTTTGCCTTGCACTCCTGGTCGCGTTCCAGCCGCAACGTTCGAAGGCGGCCATCTCATTCAAGTGTTGTTGCCGTTGTGCTTTCATGTACGTTTTGGCTCGAACCTGATACTCCGCGAAGCGTGACTCCAATGCGGCCTAGGCCGGATATCCAGCTTCCACTTGGGGGTACTTCTGGGGTTCAGCTTCCGGACACATGGTGCTAAACATCGTTCAGAAGGAACACCTGCTCTTCTTTGAGGTCCGCATTTCCAGCATCACTTAGCGCGAGCGCACTCATCGCGGCCACCAGCGTCGCATGGGTCTTCTGCATCTGCGCCATTGAATCTTCCACTTCGTGGATGGCTGTCAGAGCCGCCTGCGTTGTTCCAGACATTGATGAGCGTGACGAGCGACCCGATCTTGCAGTGAGTTCGGAATACCTGGAGTGTCCTCTCTCGGCGTGATCGATTGTTTCTATGACGACGTCGAGAACGTCGTCGGTGTCGGTGCCTTTCGTCATCTAAGTCGTCTTCTGGATAACCTGACTTCCGGCTTCGACAGTGTCTCTGTTCTTCTTTTGGAGATCGTCTTGGGTCTCGTGGTATGTCAATGTTCTACCTCGCCATAGGACTGTACGTGATACCTTCGGTTGTTGGACTATTATGTAGAGCGTACTTAATGCTAGACGATTGGAACCCTAAACACAAAAATAAAAATTAACTTGTTTGTTTGTTAACTTGTGCTCGACGAAGCAAACCCAAAACTGAAACCAAACTTCTCGCAACGCTAGACGAGTCCTACGCTTCCGTGTGCACTCGCTGCTCGAAGCTCTGTCAGCGAAGTTTCAACCCAGTCATAAAAAAGCCTTCAACTGCACTTGCACCGCGCTAGACGTTCGACACTCATCCACTAGCTTGTCTCAGGGGGATAATCATCACAGGTCGTCCGCACCAAATCGATCTTCCACCACCGGTTGGTGTCCGCAACAACCCACGACTAACGCCTTAAGGACACAAGCGTCCGTCGGCCTTCGCTCTTCATTATACACCGTTATCATAATCAACCCCGGGTCCCTTTCCACTGCCTCCTTCGTTGGAGTAGAGTCAGCAGTCACACCTCGAAGTCGTTCAATAATCGCGGCACTTCCTTCTCTCGCGCGCTCAATCATTGTTGCATCCCTTGGACACCAGCGTTCATTACACACTTAGGAGTCCCAGTGAGAACGCGCACTTCAAAATTGCGTAGCAGTCGGCTGTATAACCCACAAGCCAAACCGCCAGAGAAACACGAAGCACCACAGTTTCAAACTCGTACCAGACACACCACACAGTGAGGGCTACATCCACTCTAACCGGTCCATGTAGTAGTCCTTCCAGTACGTCGTACAGAACCCGCAGACCGTGCACTAACACCGCCGCCATAATCGTTACAGCAATATATATCCACCATAGCAACTGTCGCTGGCTCGATAAGCCACATACATCCATGCTTCGCCAAAGGCTTGAGCGTAGCGAACCGTAGCAATCCAGGAACTTGTAGGGTATCCTGTGAAAATTCAAATAAAGTATGATGAGTAGCGTCACACCACTTGCTTCACATTCGTCCGAACGAACCAAACTCAGCTTCATGATCCTCCAATACTGCAATCGGGACCAAAAATAACAGGGAAATAGCAGCCCAGGCGTAGTCAGGAGAACTGAGCGTAGCCATTTGTTCATTACGCACGACCGTCAAATAGCGATCACCACAGCAGTAGCAAAACAATCCCCACGCATAGACGCACAGCCCCAGACTATCGAGTAAGACCCACACTACCTTTCGCACAGGAGTCGTCAGTACCCAAGTAGATATACTAAGGACGATCCACGTAGCAGGATGTGCGTTCCAACTCCAAACAGCTACGAACCAGTCCACGAGCAC